TGATGATTATCTCATTAGTCAGAAGCATCCAGCTAAGCCACTCTTGGATTCCCAACACTAGAAACAGAATAAGATAGTAAAGATTGTTTTAAGCTCTGAAATTTTAGGGTAATTTCAAAAATATAGCCATAGATAAATAATACACATCTCCAAATACATTTATAACACTTGTACTACATACAATAAGATCTCACAAAAGAACAACTTTAAAACTTGCTTGCATGAATAACTTGTGTCTATATTTTCAGAGCATGTCCTTCATATATAAAGGAGCAAAGAGGCCCTTTACCTTTAGGGATATCTTTTTAAAGAAGGTAAAAATTTAAGTCAACAGTTTTTCTAATAGACATTATTCATAATTTTTCTTTAGACAATTCTAAACAGACAAAATCAATTTGAAAATATTTCTTGGATTTAATTTAGAAACAACTCCAGTTAAATTTTTCATAAAACTTATAAGTTGGGCTGGCTTTGGTTTCAGGAACATGAATATTCTTGAACTTTTCCCAGACCTGTAATCAATAATCTATTCAATCTTATTTGTTTAATTATTTTTTTTTAAAAAGAGCCTACTAAGTTGATGATAATTCTTTTAAGGCTTAGTTCTTTTCAAAGCTATTTTTAAAACACCCAGATGGCCCTTGACCTTCAGAATAGGAAGCGTCACTCATAACTTCTACTTGGCTGTTTCACCTTGTTTCCTAAGAGATTGTGTCAGTTTTGGAATTTGGTTTTTCCTCTTGCTCTTGTCAAGCATGGTGGAAGAAAACTAGGAGTTTTCAAGTGACCCCATCTCCATCATCTGTATATGCAGCAATCATTCATTCTTTGTCTTCACCAATTCACAACAGCCTTTCACCTTCAGGTTATTACGCATTTCACATTCTTTTTCCCTACCTAGAACCAATTTGTCCAATCAACTGGACATCTACTTTTCTTCCTCTCTTCTGGAAAATGGGCTACTGCTGTTTCAGAACCTTCCTTTCTTGAACATGTAAGAGCTTGTTCTCCAACTATTTGTGAGCAAGACACTCTCTCTCTCTCTCTCTCTGAGGATATAAGCCTGGAAGCACTTTGTAAGAAACAATTGGAGAAGTCGGCTCTGTTAGTGTGTCCCATAGGGAACGCTGGCCGGTCAGGAAAGAAGGCCCTGTGGGCAACAGGCCCTTCTGCATGGACGACAGGGCACTGGGTGTCACTTCCGTTATTAACATTGCATGTCTCCAGAATAGTCGGTACTTGGTAAAATAAGAACAGAATGAGGCAGATTGATTCAAATCTAAATAACCCTAAAATCTCTTAGCTAATCAAAAACTTTCCATCCTCATAGTTCATGCATTTTCATGGGAAACAAAATCCCCCGAGGGACAGACTTCCCTGACAAAACTGAATGCTTTCAGAATATAATTCTATAATCCTTTCCTAGGAACTAGATATATTTTATGTTCTGGGGATTGAACCCAAGGGAGTTCTGTCACTAGGCTATATCCCCAGCTACCTTTATTTATTTATTGACAGGGTCTTGCTAAATTACCCAGGCTGGACTCAAACTTGGGATCTTCCTTCCTCAGTAGCTGGGATTATAATTGTGGGCCACAGTTTCTGGCTTAGATATTTTTTGAATCAGTAAATGTGTGATGGCAATGTCAGCATGTAACATTCCAAGCGTTTCTTTCTACTTGAGCCTCCATTTTTACCTTTATTTTCTTACTCTTATTTTCTTTACCCAATACTCTGTTTCTCCTTTACTTTCTGAATTGCACCATCATTCTTCACAGGACCCTCAGATTGATGCTGTCTGGGGGTTCCCTGGGTCAGGAGAGGCTGAGCAGGAAGGTACATGCACTAAGAGGGTTGGTCAGCTCCTGGGGAAAGACTAGCCATGAACCTGAGTCAAACAAAGAAAGCCCCAGGTCTCCTTCTCACCAGTTTGATGTGAAGCCTGTGAAAGCTGATGATACCAGGATATTGTTTTTTGGTTAGGACCCAGACAAAATTGGAGTCAGAAAATAGGGAGGGAGGGATCATAACTGCATGTTTAAGATAAGGAATTTCTACATGCCTAACAGAGAGATTGCTTTGCTTCTCCTTTTTTTACTCAACCATGCTTTGTAGGTCTTAACCTGTATGCCTGGATCTATATAACAATGCTTTACTTTTAGCATTCTTTAAGATTTCAACAATTCAGACATCATACTCTCTCCATAGAACACTTGTCTGGCAGTTGTACCTCTGCCAAGGAGCAGAGGCCAAATCCTGCCTCAGGCTTCCATGACCAAAGAACTTTGTATGCAAGTAGCTTCCCTTTTCCCCCTTTATACTCTTCCTCTTCCCTCAAACTCCTGAATACACCTAGTTTACTCTAGCACACGTATCCTATTGCAAGACTCTGTCAATCCCAAATATCATATTTCCTTGGAGGATCTCTTTCTGATTGTTATTTAGGTTGGCAAGCCCTAAGAGAGCTCCTGTGAGGAGAGATCCAGGGTTCTACTTTTAGTTCAGTGCTGTTTTTAACCTTTCCTCAAGTCCTTCTGAAGGTACACAGGGTAGCCATGTTGGATAGGGATGAGGGGTCTCAGAATTTCTGACTAAGTTCCTTTGATTGATCTCTGCCTTTGCTGGCAAAACTATCTGCTGGGTAGGATTCTTTATGGGGTTTCCTTTGACCAAATTTTTGCAGCTCAGCAGCAAAGAGGAGGGCAGTGGGGCGATGGGACTGATTCTGAGGGCCTGGCACTGGACTCTTGAATTCCTGTGAGGAGATTACCTGACCCTGGTTTATTTATCAAATTGGCAATGGGATGCCTGGAAGAGCCTCTGGGGAATTCCCAGGATCACTTCTCAAAATACCAGACATTAATACATGTTACCATTGCAAGAAGCAGGAACTTCCAGTTTTCTGAACTTAGCTAAGTTTGTCTATAAGGACCTGGCTGATGGTTCAGGGTGTGGTTCCATACAGGCTTTAACCTATAGACAAAGGAAGGGAAATGAAAAGACTGGTTGTGTCTCTGTAGTTTGGCAAAGCAGAGTAAGGGTAGATAAATGTCAAAATGCCTGCAGACTGGTTGGTTGGCCTGGTTTCTTTGGAGCTATCTGGCATGGCAGCAGCAGGTAGACAAGGGAATCTTGTCTTAGATAATAATAGCTACTATTTATTCAGTCCTTCCCATGTGCTAGATGACATATTCAGTGTTTTACATATAAAACTTTAGAAATCCTTTGAGATGGGTGGTATTCCCATTTGTCAAAAAAAAAAAAAAAAAAAAAAAAACAGAGTCAAATAGAAATTTACTGGTTTATTCAACATCAGGTTTCTAGAAGAGGTCAAAAATTTTATTTTGATACACAATTATTTTTACTGTGACATCTTAGGCACTCCTAACAAAACAAAACAAAACAAAACCTCCAAAACTTTGTAACTAGAAATATAGTGAACTTAAAATAATGGGACTTTTGGGAGAAATGGGGTTGGTATTATAAAACTTAATAATTAGGAAATAAAAATAAACAAGAGCAATACAAACACTAGCACAGGTGAATCTCTATCAGCATCTACCCCTGACATCTCAGTTGGTCTTTTTAACCTCACATCCTGGTGCTTAGTCTTCTTGCAGGGTCTTGAGCATTCACTGTCAATAGAGAACATTTGCGTAAACATTAGAAATCTGATCCAGAGTTTTAATACAGAGGCATACAACTTCAGAACGTCACAGTTTCAACAGATAGTTAACATAATGGAAAACTTCATAGCTGGTTTCATGGCTTCAAACACCAGTACTTCATTGAAACCCTTCATTGTATAGGTTTCGCCCTAAAGTCCAAACATTTTTTTCTGAATCATTCTTCCTAAATTCAAGAAAGTTTACCCTGAGCTCCTCAGTTGACATGTTGGGCAAAAATCATGTGTTCATCAATATAACTTTCTCAGCAGTCTTCAATCCCCAATTTACTTGTTTATTTGGTTCATTGTAGCAAGGGAAACAAATGCTGTTTCAAATTTGGACCAGCCTGTTTTGTGAGGCCCATGTAATTCTTCTGTGTTCTGAAGAGGCTCGTTGTCCTTGAGGGAAATTTAGATTGTCTGGAGCATTTCTAACTGATCAGGACTATCCACTCCCCCTAATGCTAAGAGCATGCCATGATCACAAGTAACAAAATTAACAGTGTATTCTTGATTTCATCTAATTCCCAGCATATTAAATTTTTTGATAGTCTCAAATGCTTTTTTACAGCTTCCCCCCAACCCAAATTAGTATCCACTAATGCTCAGACTTAGCACTTGGTTGTTATGTCTGCTGGATCTTTTTTATATATCCTTCTGCCCTTTCTTTTCTTTTTAATTTTTTTTTTTTTGTAGTTGTAGGTGGACAGAATGCCTTTACTTTATTTGTTTATTGTATGTGGTGCTGAGGATCAAACCCAGTGCTTCATGAATGCTAGGCAAGCTCTCTGCCACTGAGCTACAGTCCTGGTCCCTGCCCTTTCTTTAATAAACTTGATTTGTTAGAGAAATCAGTCCTTTATATCTGATAGAGTATTCCATGTTTGGAATTTGATTGTTTCTCATGATGGTATTTAAAATAGTTTCTCTATTCCCCATATTTCCTATAAACTGATTGTTAGAACTCAAAGCTTGATTTAGGTTCAGGGTCAATTTCATTGGTAAGAATACTTCCTAAGACAAGCTTCATAATTGCTGTGGGTTCATATTGTGAAGTAAAGTGTTGAGGCCTACCTAATTTTAGCGACTCTAAGATTGATCAGTGTGTGAGGAGGTGGCACCAAGTAATGATTCATCGAACAATGATCGTTTCCTAGATCCGTTGTCTCACTGAGACTGAAAAATGGTAACCTTCCCAGTTTGCCATTCCTTTTCCATTTGTTAGCTGGGATTCTTTGAAGAATTCGACCTTGTCAAGGCTTTGGATAAGCTGAAACATAGAGAAGGTAAAGACTCGATTCTTTTCTTTTATTAATTTTGAGAGTAAAGAGTTATGAGGGCGCTGCATTTATTGAAGAGTGGCTGCAGCCCTGCGGTTCAGATTAAAATCCGAGAATTGTATAGACGTCGATATCCTCGGACTCTTGAAGGACTTTCTGATTTATCCACAATCAAATCATCGGTTTTTAATTTGGATGGTAGCTCATCACCTGTAGAACCTGACTTGGCTGTGGCTGGAATCCACTCATTGCCTTCCACTTCAGTTACACCTCACTCACCGTCCTCTCCTGTTGGTTCTGTGCTGCTTCAAGATACTAAGCCCACATTTGAGATGCAGCAACCATCTCCTCCGATTCCTCCTGTCCATCCTGATGTGCAGTTAAAAAACCTGCCCTTTTATGATGTCCTTGATGTTCTCATCAAGCCCACAAGTTTAGTTCAAAGCAGTATTCAGCGATTTCAAGAGAAGTTTTTTATTTTTGCTCTGACACCTCAACAAGTTAGAGAGATATGCATATCAAGGGATTTTTTGCCAGGTGGTAGGAGAGATTATACAGTCCAAGTTCAGCTGAGACTTTGCCTGGCAGAGACAAGTTGTCCTCAAGAAGACAACTATCCCAATAGTCTATGTATAAAAGTAAATGGGAAGCTGTTTCCTTTGCCTGGGTATGCACCACCACCGAAAAATGGGATTGAGCAGAAGCGCCCTGGGCGCCCCTTGAATATTACATCTTTAGTTAGGTTGTCTTCAGCTGTGCCAAACCAGATTTCTATTTCTTGGGCATCTGAAATTGGAAAGAATTACTCCATGTCTGTGTATCTTGTACGACAGCTTACATCAGCCATGTTACTACAGAGATTAAAAATGAAAGGTATTAGAAACCCTGATCATTCCAGAGCACTAATTAAAGAAAAACTTACTGCAGATCCAGATAGTGAAATTGCTACAACTAGTCTTCGGGTATCCTTAATGTGCCCTTTAGGAAAAATGAGGCTGACAATCCCATGCCGTGCAGTGTCTTGTACACATCTACAGTGCTTTGATGCTGCCCTTTATCTACAAATGAATGAGAAGAAGCCCACCTGGATTTGTCCTGTGTGTGACAAAAAAGCTGCCTATGAAAGTCTAATACTAGATGGGCTTTTTATGGAAATTCTCAATGACTGTTCTGATGTGGATGAAATAAAATTCCAAGAAGATGGTTCTTGGTGTCCAATGAGACCGAAGAAAGAAGCTATGAAAGTTTCCAGCCAGCCATGTACAAAAATAGAAACTTCAAGTGTACTCAGTAAGCCTTGTTCAGTGACTGTAGCCAGTGAGGCAAGCAAGAAGAAAGTGGATGTTATTGACCTAACAATAGAAAGCTCTTCTGATGAAGATGAAGAACCTCCTGCCAAAAGGAAAAGCATCTTTATGTCAGAAACACAAAGCAGCCCAACCAAAGGGGTTCTCATGTATCAGCCATCTTCTGTAAGGGTGCCCAGTGTGACTTCGGTTGATCCTGCTGCTATTCCGCCTTCATTAACAGACTACTCAGTACCATTCCACCACACGCCAATATCAAGCATGTCATCAGACTTGCCAGGAATACAAAGAAGAAATGATATTAATAATGAACTGCAGCTTGGAACATCTTCTGATACTGTGCAACAGTGAATACAAAATTAAACATAATTTGTATTTATGGAATGGAAAACAGCTTGATTATTACAAGAAAAAAATAATGACTGCCTTATTATTGCTAGTGCCATATTGTCAGGTGCGAATGGTGCTCAACAGTTGTATCATTAAAATTTGAAAGTGCTAAACCTTTACATTTTTAATCTTGTAGCAATCATGTTTTGTGAAAGTTTATGGCGCAAGTTAAGGAAAAGTGTGTTGTCATCAATGAGGGAAAAAAACTAATGAGTCAGTTTCACTTAGTGAAGCATTTAAAGTTCAAAAATGAGAATTTTATCGGTGTTAATAAAGCAGAAACATTTAGAATGTACCATCAGAATTTTTCATAATACTTTTTAGTTAAAATAATAGATCATTTTCAACCATGAAATACTTACAAGGGCAAAAAATATCAGTATTATATGTTACAATTGACATGATAAAATAAGGAATAACATTTTGCTAAACTTATAGAACAAGGTAGTAAAATTTTCATCACTTGATAAAACTATTAGTTCATGAGTTTTAATCTACTTAAAATGTAAAAATACAAGACTCTTGGTATGTGGTGGATTGAACCCAGGGCCTTGTGCATGCTAGGCGTGTGCTAAGTGCTCTACCTCAGACCTACATTCCCCAGTCTTTTTTCTTTTGGGAGATTATGTCATTGTGTTGCCCAAGCTGCCCTCGAACTTGGGAGCTTTCTGCCTCAACCTCCTAAGTTGCTGGGATTACAGGTGTGTGCAGCTATACCTGGAAAAAAATGCAAGATTTTGATGGATGTTTAGCTTCTTATTAGAAGGAGTAACATAAAACATCACATTTCACTGTTAAGTGCTTAAGACAGAGTTTCATTAAGAAATATTTACTTTAAAACCCTATTGGATTTTGTATTAACAGCACCTATGTAATGCTTAGAAGACAATCTAGGGTTTCAACACAATTTTTTTTTAAAGTCTAGATATTTTAATATGGCATTGTATAAGTCACCATATTTCAGTTATCTTTGGATGGAGTATCAAAAGATACAGATTAAGTAAATCTTTTTAACTCTTTTCTAATTGACTTGATATTTATTGGCACACAAAAAATCCCCGAAGAGACAAGCTGGATATTGAAATAATGAAAATAGGTAGAATCTTTGGATCTCAGTGGGCATCCTTTAGTGGCAATAGAGCTGCAGAAGCAGAATATTATATCAAGCCTGTGAATTTATGTAAGTTGAAATTATGAAATGGAAGAAGTTGAACATTTAGAAAATGAACATTTCTGAGTGATTTGGTTTCAGTACACAGTATTCCATCAGAGATGTCAATACTTTCTTTAGCTTTATTTTTAAAAAAGTTAAAATGGATTGAGTAATAAACATTAAGTGATAGAACATGTAAACTATTAAAACGTAGAAACTGTTAAAAAATTAGGAAAATGTTATACCATTTGAAGCAAAACAAAAAATTAATAAAATGAGGCCAATTATATTCCAATAAACTTTTTGTGACAGCAATAGAAATTTTTCTATATAAAGCTCTGAGAAGGTATGTAACTTTAGGCTAAATCTGAATTACTGTTCAGAAGCAGGATTTACTGAACAATATCATTAATGTGAAGAGAAACTCTCTGCTTAGAAATATGTCATTTACTGATTTCAGTTTAATGGAGGAAGTCATTGGAAAGATTCATTGTAATTTCCTTTGTCCATCATAGTCTCAAACTGCTGTATTATATAGCTGGTAACCAGTGTATGAAATGAAAAACTATAGCAACATTTTAAAAATGCTTTAGGAATTGTTTCATTTTAGATAACTGGTGCTATAGTTTATATCACTTGATATGCTTACAACAGATTTTGAGATTATAAGGGAGTAAATACACTTTAAAATTTTTGAGTCAAAATTATTCATAGGGGATATTAAAAATTTTAAAAACAATCCTCACTGATAGTCTCTGTTTTGAGTAATAGTGTATATAACATCATACTTTGACTCTGTGGTTGCATTTGGGGTGACATTGAATGCCTGCATATAAAAAGCCATGTTATTGATAGACTCTGACCTGTCTTAATGGCTAGGCCTACTATGATTCCTTTTTTATTTTGAAATAATTGAAAAGAATTCAGTTACCCAAGGAGGTTGGGGAACTGACTTCAAAGTTCATTGCTTGGTTTTTCAGATCTGAAGTTTTATTATTCTGTTCCTTTAACCCTCTTAAATGATATTCCTGGGCAACCTTTTCTACATTCCTATTTCTAAAACATAAGTGGAGAATCCCAGGTCATTGGTTTAGAGCTTAGTAAACTTGTATTAACTTTTGCTTGTTAGTGAGCAACAGTTACCAACTGCTTGCTTTGTGCGGAGTGTGGGACTGTGTACTACTCTTCATTGGCAGCAAGGGTCAGAGAGGTATCAATGAAAGAGACATCTGTTTAAGAAGTAATATTTTAGATGAACCTCAATGTGTATTTCTGAAAAATAAATGTGAATTATCTTTAAAAAAAAAAAAAAAAAAAGAGTTATTCTTTAGCAGATGCAGATGTGACCGGTGAGTTGCTCCTTGAGGATCATTATGAACTACTGACATTTTATGTGTGTATGCTTTAACACTGATGTCAATCCTTTCTGCTCAAATTGTCTCAACCTTGCCGGTAGGAGCCTTTTCAGTTATCTTCTATGTAGTTTTGACATGAACTTTTTAGAGTTTAATTGTTTTTTTGCTTTCTGGCACAAAATCGTTTGACTCATTTTGTAAATGTCCTTGTGTGGACCAAAACCCAACTGTTTCTCAAATGGTGTCTTTGAAATAACTACAGTTTGGTCATTAAAGGGGATTTTTTTTTTCTATTGAATAAGGGTAAAACATCTATATTGCAAAGCTAAAATTTGATCTTTTTGACTTCATTTTCCCTTTGAGAAAAAAAAATATTTTTGTGTGTCTTTGATACCATGAACCTTCTCGGGGATACAACTACACACTTTGACCAAATTAGTAGAGACATGAACTGTTAACAATACCAGGAAATTACCCAAGGTCTTTTAATACACCAGCTATGAAGTTGGCCATGAAGTCATACTTCAAAATTTGTTTTGTTTTGGAATATTAGCAAATTTAAAAGAATAAACATTTTCTCTCTCTCTCTTTTTTTTTTTTGGTTGGGGCTAATGTATTTTCCATTTTGTAGATAAATTTAGCTTTATGGATATTAACTCTTTTGTTTCTGTCCTTAGTTAACAAATCTGTTCATTTTATTTGGAGCATTCATTTGCAGTTCTTCAAATTAACATATGAAAAGGAATCCAACTTTATTAGTAACCAAATGGTATGCAAATTAAAACATGAGCATTTTTTATTACAACAAAGTAGCAAAGATAAAAAAATTATGTTCTGTTCTAGGAAGTTTTAAATGACAGTTTCACTTTTGATGCCTGTGCTGCTATCACGTTCCTAGGTTTTGTTCCTTTTCTACTTGGTATATCTTCTATCTCTTCCCTTCTCCATGTACCAGGTCCTTACCCTTTCTTCTGACTTGCACTGTTGGGCAGATACAAAGGTGCTCTGTGTAGAATTCAGAATTCCACTAATTATTTTTGTAAAGGACCAGAGAGTACATATTCTGACTTGATGAGCACTCATAGTACTTAGTCTATGCTGGATGAGTGCCAAAATTGAGTTATTACATAAGTAAAAATGTAATCATTAAAAATGTAAAATTGTTTCATTTTTCAGGGCAGGCCTATACCAAAACAGATGACAAGTGAGACTTGGCTCATGGGCAATGGTTTGCCAACTCCTGTTTTAGATCCTACTGTAAGAAAAGACTGTCCATGTGGCTACAATTATAGCTAGTGGCAGAACATGTGCTTAGTATGTGTGAGACTCTGAGTTCAAACTCCAGCACAGGAAAAGGGAGGGGGAAAAAAAGAGGAAAATTAAAAGAAAGGACTATTTGGTTACAAGGAGTTATTATCTAATAGCCTCCAACAGTTAGCTTCACAATGGCCCACCATGGTCCACCTTGACTTTGAGATGAGGTGGTGCTTTTCTTGGGGCATTGCACCCCTGCTCCATCAACGATTGGATAGGGCCTAGTCTCCCACTGATAGCCAGCAAGAATGTAAGGAAAGATCCTCCAGCTGTGAGGAAGTAGATTCTACCATAACTCAAGTGAGCTGAATCCACTCAAGTGTATTCTCCCCGAGCATCCATGTAAGAGCCCACCTGACACCTTGACTCGGGCTTTGTGAGATCCCTGAGGAAAGAACAAGTGGAACAAACTGATTTCTGAACTACAGAACTATCAGATGATAACTGGGTGTTATTTTAAGCTACTGAGTTTGTAGTAATTGGTTATAGATCAAGAGAAAATCAATAAACTGGGAAATGTGGTTTGCAGAGGACAGGCCCTGTAGTATGAAGCACACAGGAGGAAGGATCTGAGAGCAAATATACCAATTACTAGACAGAGCATTTCACCATATTTTAAAAAACATCCTCTAGCCTACATGCATTGGTTATGTGTGAATCATTGTATGTTTTCTCAGTGACTATAAAGATTTCATCAACAGTGGAGGGAGGATTTATTTGTGATGATCAGAGTAATTTAGGAATTTAGGAATTTCAGGTAATTACTGTAAGTCATGTTGGAGAGTTAGTTAATGGCTGTATTAGCTTTTTCTTTTTGACTGGTTCTTTCCCTCTGCTTTGCTTTAATAGAGGACCAGCTATACTAAGAGCTAAGGGCTTCAGAGAAAAGCTCTGGGCCACGTCCACAAGGGTTAGAGTCCTGCTGAGCAGGGAGTATTTTTTCCCAGGAAGCTTTGTGAAGGGCTATTGCTACCTGTAGCAAATACCTGTGGCAACACATAGGGAGTGACTGAGACATCCAAAGGACTGCTTAGGGATAACAGATGGCCAGCCCCCAAATGATCACTTATAATAATCCAAACAGAACCCAGAAGTCTCACCACTTAGCTTTTAAAAATCCATTATTTCTTCCAGACAGAAGCACTTAGGGGAACAAAATGGCTTATTTCAGCATACATATCGAGAAAGCAACATAACATTTGAGCTGAGCCTTGAGGATCGCATGATCAAAGATTTGTGAAACTAATAGCTAACACTGAAAGAGATGATAGCACTTTTGAATGCATTTTGAGTGCTCCTGTGAGGTACACAATCTAATTGTGGTGTAATTACCAGTAACTAATGATGTTTCCCCCGCCCCCCTACAATTTGTGCTACCTGAAGCCTGTTTCTATTGGTGCTAGAATTGTATGGATGACTATGACTGTTCAGGACACTGCTGCAGCAATAATCAAAGGTAAGACAGACAGAGCTGAATATATTGTGTATCAGAAGGTATAGCATTCAAATTTCCCTGATAATCAATTGAAGTTCAATTGTACAGAATTCTTAGAATTCATTAGTGAAACCCAGTAGAGATAGTTTGTACCAGGGGCAGCATTACCGTGATTACCTAATTTCAGAGTGAGGATTTAAATGGGGAAATTTAGGTTTTAACCTGTTTTTACTATAGTAATTGCAATGAGGAAACATAAATAGATCCTGTTTTTAAAGTAAATCTCTTATATACAGAAGAATAGCTATTAAGAGTAGAAGCAATGGTAGAAATAGAAACTTAAGATTGCAAGACAATGAAATAATCAATACAGGTGAGGATCAATAATCAATGCTAAAACTGTTAGTCAAACAGTGGACAGAATCAGATGTTTACATGGCATTAAAGAATCACCCCCACAGATTTCCTGCAAACATGAACTGAACTTATCATGTTTTGCTGCATAATCATTGCAGGATTTTGCCCATTTTTCTTTTTCTTTTTTTGCAAAAATGTGGGGTGTCATCATTATGTGAAGCTTTTTAAAATTGTGCTAGTAATATTTTAAAATTGTATATTGCTGGGCACAGTGACATTCATCTGTAATCCTAGTGGCTCAGGAGGCTGAGGTAGGAGGATCACAAGTTCAAAGCTAGTCTTAGTAACTTAGCAAGGCCCTAAGCAACTGAGGGAGACTCTGTCTCAAAATAAAAGATTAAAAGGGCTAAGGATGTGACTCCGGGTTAGGTGACTCTGGGTTTAATCCCTGGTACCAAAAATAAATAAATAAATAAACAAATAAATAAATAATTCTAAACTGTCTTTGGTTCAAGATTAGGATGCATGGAATACATGATTTGTGCATTATAGTTGAGAATTACACTTGAAAAAATTTACTCCTCGTTGTTAGTATGGACTTAGAAAACTTAATCTTCTGTGTCCAAAGTGGTGCCATCCTCACCACCACTCATATATGATGTGTTTACCTTTAGTAGTGCTCTGCTCTAAACAAACCACCCAAGCTGGCTTACAGAAATAGACTGACGATGTGTGTTTACTGAGAATTCTAGGCTTGTGCTTACAGTGAATGAGAAAACAAATGTGCATCCATATGCCACTGGTGAATACATTGCTGCTCTGTTTACCTTTTAAATGACAACAGATTTAAACCATGCAACAATTATACTATGAAAGGTTATAAACCTTTATGGACTGAAAAAACAGAGAGCAATAATTATGTGGGATTGATTGTCTCACTATTAATGAATGATGCTATGTAACTGTGGAGATGATATGTTATAAATTATATGGTATGACCCGCATTCTCATCAACAATGTTTAAAATGGAAGTTGGATCTAATGGCTTGATTAGATTCAAGTTGAAGGTAATACAAAGCAGAGAAGGATGAAATAAATGCCACTATTAGGAAATGTTGGACCCAATCAGACTGTGGGACATGTATAAGACAATTGGTATGATCTCTAAAAAACTCAAAAGAGAAAGGAGGAATTGGTAGACTAAAAGACTAAATAAATACAGAACCAAATGCAACACAGGGTCTTTGATTGGATTTTGTTTTTTTAAGAATAAAATTT